TGTGTCAAATAAAAAAAATTGATTGGCCTTTTTAGTTTAACTGCCCCTTCACAATATACATTAATGAGGGACTTTTTTCTCAGCTAAAGGAGACCCTTGTTGCTGAGAAGAAAAAAAATCACATTTGCTGAGCACTGCCCTCACATACTATAACGCAATTCAGCTAACAGCTAAGAGCACTGATGTGTGTCTAGCAGATAATAACTAACACGTTTGAGGCTAGAGGAACTTGGGTAAAAAAAGTCTATAGGAAATCTAAAGTTGAGTAGTGCAGAAAAAAAGAAGAAAGACAATATGATGTTTGGACACATGATGGATTACAAGAAATCGCCAACCAGAGAGAACGAGTCATGGACGAATCTGTCCGTAGAAAAGTGACAGAAAGCAATAAAAGAGTGACAGGGATGTGACCGAACGACGGCGAGAGAGTCTGCTGAACACAATAGAGCCTCGTAAGGACAAGGAGTTCCACAGCAAATGTGACACCAAACACATTCCTCCTGCGGAGGGAGCTGGTAGGAACGTTGGGTTGCTCGGTCAAAGGCCAGGGGCAACGGCGGCGTGGTGTATTCTGCAAATATGGCTGACTGTGAGGGCGGGCACAAGCCAGTGTGAGTAGGTTAAACGTTGAGTTTTATAAGGGCACCACGGGGTGACCAGCCCCTCCCCACCCAGCCCCACCCCTCCCACCCCCCACCCTCCCCACCCAGCCCCTCCCCACCCTCCCCTCCCCACCCAGCCCCTCTCCACCCTCCCCACCCAGCCCCTCCCCACCCTCCCCTCTCCACCCAGCCCGACCCCTCCCATTTGTGAATGCACGACGGACGGACACAATAATCTCCTGTGGGCTGGTGGAACCAGGTGGTTCCTACCAGTATAGTACCACTGCCAAGGGTTGCCCTCTGTACAGTTTTAGTGACTGATTAGAGCTGAAGAAGGATTTGGCACGACATAGAAATCCAAGCTGCTTTTATGCCTCTTTAGTCAGATTAGCAATGCAACTGTTTTAAAGCAAGTCAAGTGAAATGCTCATGCTAAGCAGATTGGTGTATTCAATACGGATAAGATCAACATTCTGAAATGCGATCACAGGAACCACGGTATTAACAACCTTATAACATTAGCAATGACTGGGTTTTATTCAAGTTGAAAGTAACCATGTCCTTGACGTTTTAGCACTTTGGACAGCGAAGAGTCTGCTGATCTCTGCTTATGATTTGAATGGATATATGGAGTGAAGAGTGCTGCCATCAGCAAAGAAATGGTTGATATTGTTGGAAGTCACTAGTGAAGAGAAGAATGATGCCAGTGACAGAATTGCATCTTACAGCACAGTTGATGGTGAAGGTGCCAAACAGGTTGCTTTTAACTGCATATATTGAGTTGTCTGTAAAAAAAACAGAAAACTCAAGCTTCAGATGAGTGTGGACCCCACATGACGGTACCTTGGCAAGTGGTGTTGGATACCGGACACAATCACGTTATGAATGTCAAGAGCAAGGGTCGTGGACTCTCCAAAATGTCTAGAGATCCAGATGTGAGTCACGTAAGCTAGGAAATCCCCATTAGAATGGGCTTGCCGCAAGCCATGGTCACCAAGAAGTGCTATCGATTCTAAGTGATGGAGATTCTGATGACTGATGACAGATTCCATCACTTTGCAAAAGTAATGAGGTCGGAGCAATAGGACGATAGTTATCACGTAAGATGGATCATCCTTTCTCTAGAATTGGCAGGAGGCAAGCTCACTTCCAGGTTGGTAGTAGCATGCATGTGGTCTGTGATAGCTTGGAAATCTGACAAACTGGTAAAATTTCTGGGGCACACATTATAGGTACGACATTAGGTATGGTGTCAGGACCCCAAGGCTTGTAAATATTATTCTTGAGAGTATATGACACACATCATGCACTGTGAATACGCATTGTGTCATGTGGTTGTTTTTCTCCTGGTCATCAGGTTTTTCACGCCTTGTTTAGAAACATTCGTCTGGACTATTTGTCTGCTATAAATGTCTACATAAGCCACTTCGTTGAGCTATAATTTGTGTATATTTTAATTTTTAGTGACTGCAGGGATCCATACTCTTTGGTTCTTTCGGTAAAGTCACGTAGGTATAAAATAAAATTAATTAAATCACGACGTTTCGGGCGCAACACAAGCGCTCGTCATCAGGTGGGACAACCACAGCAAGAAACAATTGCTGAAGTGATAGGTACGACATTAGGTATGGTGTCAGGACCCCAGCAATTGTTTCTTGCTGTGGTTGTCCCACCTGATGACGGACGCTTGTGTTGCGCCCGAAACGTCGTGATTTAATTTATTTTATTTTCTACCTACGTGACTTTGCCGAAAAAATCAAAGAGTACTATAATTTCATAATATAGGTTTTTTGGGTCAGATCGCGTTATTTATAAATGTGTCGTAACCCTCCACCACCCGATACGGCCAAACAGTAAAAAAAACGTGTCACGTTTTTCAAAGGACAAAATAATTCACTTCTCTAGCCCACCGGTGTGTTGAAGAGAGAATCGACAGCATTTTTAAATCCTTTATATTAAGTTCGCTTGCTTGCGTGCTTGCTTGCTTGCTTAGGACCGTGCAAATCTTTCGGTCGTTTTTTAACCCACTTCCCGTGATGCAATCGAGCTGACATTTTCCACACAGACTCGTTGTGCCAGACAATTATTGTTCGTGAACAAAAATTCCCAAAATTTTACACTTTTTAGGCCAAAATTTTTTATTTTACATATATTCAAATAGAACGCATTCATGGCTTTGGCTGAACGTCAGAGTGTAAGAGCCCAGAGCGTAACCCCTCCACAGGCCGTGGTGGAGTAGCGCAGTTGGTAGCGCCCTCGCTTCCCATGCCAAAGGTCGCGGGATCGATCCCCGCGTCCTCCACAGGCGAATATATTTTTAAATCCTTTATATTAAGTTCGCGTGCTTGCTTGCTTGCGTGCTTGCTTGCTGCGTGCTTGCTTGCTTGCTTACGACCGTGCAAATCTTTCGGTCGTTTTTTAACCCACTTCCCGTGATCCAATCGAGCTGACATTTTCCACACAGACTCGTTGTGCGAGACAATTAATGTTCGTGAAAAAAAATTCCCAAAATGTTACACTGTTTAGGGAAAACAATCATCTGACCCATAGGTGGCAGCCATCTCAAGCCAGAGGACGAGAGGATTCTAGCCGCCACGCATATAAAGGATTTATAGTGAAAAACTTTGTTTTTACGGGTTATACTTATTAAATCCTTTATATTAAGTTCACTTGCTTGCTTGCTTGCGCGCTTACGACCGTGCAAATCTTTCGGTCGTTTTTTAACCCACTTCCCGTGATCCAATCGAGCTGATATTTTGCACACAGACTCGTTGTGCGTGACAATTTATTTTCGTGAAATTTTTTTTCCAAAATTTTACACTTTTTAGGAATTTTTGTTTATATTTAATTACCAATTGCTTAATGGTGGCAGGCAATCATCTGACCCATAGGTGGCAGCCATCTCAAGCCAGAGGACGAGAGGACTCTAGCCGCCACGCATATAAAGGATTTATAGTGAAAAACTTTGTTTTTACGGGTTAATTTTTTTAATTTGGGTATGACGTTTGGCTGGTAATTACAATCAGCTTCATCGGGCAAGAATGGTGAAGCTCTCCTGTTGCTCCCGGTCTTAAATAGAGCAGCAGCAGGGTGACGTCATCATTTATAATTTGTGGCCAGGTCACTTCTGAAAAAGAGCCATATAGGTCAATGGGCCTTCTCTGGTAATATAAAAAGAGTTAGTTAAAAATAGTTAGAACATATTCAGGTCTCAGGAAAAGGCCTAGGAAAATGTTCCAATCTCAAACATAATCAGGGAGGTGAGTAGCACCGTTCACTCATTGTTCAAGGTTCCTCTCGACTGCACAATGTCAGCTCCGCAGCCAACATTACAAGTTCCGTGTGGTTTTTCTACAGCCAAGGACTGCTGTGGACATTGTATTCGACAAGAACAATGACCTGGGCCACTCAAATGTTTCTGGTACAAGAAGCCCCATTGGTAGCAGTGAGAGCAGACAAGAGTTTCGAGTGGATGGGTTAAAGAGCTGCCTCCATGCTGAAAAGGGAGGAAACCCTGGATAAAGGAAGCAATTAATCATGGGGAAATACCATGAAGGCACTGTTGAACAGGGGGAGTGGGACAGTAGAGTAAAGCGGGACACAACAACACATCTCGGTAACTGTAACAGATGCACACGCACGCAAGGGTGCGGACAACATAACGGGTTGGGCTCGCACGGGAGCTGGCAGCGTGCAGGCACAAAAACAGAGCAATTCCCAACAGTGCTGCCACTCTTCCACTCCTCAACGGCCACAAAATATGGGAGGGTTTGATGCAAATCAAAGGCAAAGAAGTGGTATTTGAAAATATATATTTTTTACTAAGGAAGCCTGGCTAATTGGGTGACATTTCGTTCAAAACAAAAATATCAACATGTTCCCATGCTCTAACAAGCACTAAGTGGTGATCATATCCATTGGCTGTCATAAGCCACCAATGGCCATTCCAATTAATGCTCAAATTGCAACAGATGGCATGCTTTGCTAAATCTCTACAGCAACTACCATGTAGCTGTGGGAACAAATTATTAATGTTGTACAAACTATATCAGTTTGTGCAGTTTTATTCAGCCGCCTGGACATAAAAATAATAAAGGCAGTCCCATCTCCTCCATAAGTTGAACCAATTAAAAATGTAATCAAGAAAATGTAACTTATGGTCAATCCCCCTCATAACAAGCGAACACTTTTTACGACCAATAAAAAGTAACAGGAGAATTAATTCCGACATGTTGGGGGCGATGTCACAGAAGGCTGCACATGTCCTGCAGGTGACATTATGGCAGCAAAACAGCCCGGGTGCGACCCCAACGAAACAAGGCATTGAAACTCAGCAGGGCAGCTGGCGCCATGGAGCATTCCACGCTCGGGTTGTTTGAAGCCGAGGGCTGCACTGACCAGATAAGGGCCATGTAGGCTTCCTGGCAGATGGGGTTGCAGAACACGTGTCCTTCCAGTGCCGGCCGTGGCTCTTTCAGCCACAGGAAAACCGTGTCGCTGGTCCCCAGGCTCACCTGCACGACCCACAAGGAGACACGCAAGGCCCACATCTGTTGTGATGCAAATTATAACGGTTGGCATTAGTAATAGGGTGCAAGTGCAGACCGCCAAAAAAGTGATTATGAACTGTCATTAAAACTGCCTGGAAAAAAATATTAATAATAATTTCGCATTTTTTGCCCTGCTCAAAAATGTACATAAAAACTGATTAAATGATTGAATGTTACTGTAGAACAGCATTATACGATTGGTGCAATGCCAATAGTTGTTTTCAATGAGCTCTTGCCATGGTGAAGCTGTGTATCACCGCAGAGCCTTAAAGGATCTAGTACAAAACCAAAGAGCTGGGCACCAGCGGGTCTCAGAGTCTGTACTCTGCGAAATGCAAAGGTGACGCCTTTAAAAATGGCCAAAGTGTTTGTGTCACTCTTGAGAATGTGAAGGTTGAGGATTATTTTTCCATGCTCAGGATTTCATGGGTGGTATGTTAATACAAATGGAGCCCTGTCATTTATCAGTTGACCGGTTGCTTTGCTGCTTCATGGTCTACCGAGAGGGCACCATCTAAAAATATTGAAGGTTATTTTCCAGTGGAAAATAAACTATTCACTCCGTATTGATGAAAACACTACCCTCCCTACATCTACAAAGGACAGTCTGTCTTTCTATTATTTCGCTGGTGAATTGTATTGATGAATGGAAGGTGTTAGTAAATCAAATAAAGGAACTGAGGCCCTCTTTAGAGCAAGAGCTGATGGTTGCTCGCACACTCAAAATGTATCTCCCAAAACAATCAGTTTTGTCCCTATATATTGTTGGAAACTTTGCTGCTCTAAATATCCATAAAGGGATTGGTATATACAAAGACTCATACACGTGTCCATAGCCACGTCACTCATCTGGATTTAGTGGCATACGTTGGATATGCAACTTTTGAGGTTGAACACAAGTTTTACCACACTTTAGGAATGTTGCAGTGGATGGAGTCTGTTCTGTCTGGGCACAAAAGAAGTGTGGTTGTACATGTAGGTCACCTTTATTGGGAATTACTAGAAATATGGAACTGATATCTAATGTAAAATACAAAAACCCTGCAGACCTGCAAGCCAAAGGTTTTTAAACAGCTGTGGGGCATGATTTGTGTCCTTAATGTCAGTCGGCAGGGGACGGACGAATGAAGGAACGATGGCCAAATATACCAAGTTTAATCTAGACTTGAAGTTTTCGTGACCGCAGGGATCCATACTCTTTGGTTCTTTGGGTAAAGTCACGTATACCTACGTGACGGATACCTAGGTGACTTTACCGAAAGAACCAAAGAGTATACCAAGTTTAATTCGGAAGGAAAACTATAGACTGATACCATTGTTGTACCCTGGGCAGGAAATAGATGGTTTGTGTCTGAGGAGTTTGGGTAATGAGGTAATTTTTTTACATTCTCAGGCAAGTCACACAGACTGATAAAAGTGTCACAAATCCTCGGCTGTTTGTTGATGTCTTGCTGCGAGGTCAACTGCACAGCAAGAAGAGACGTCACACAGTTGTCTGACTGCTTACTCTTTACACAAGCCCGTTTTCCAGTCCAACACAGCACTTTTGTTGGAAAGTTTTATAACAACGTCATCACATGCATACAGGGCTCTGAGAGCAGCAGGGGTGATGTTGAATTTTGGCTTAGGTCTGCTTCGGGTGATGTGAGTGTTACGGCTCGACAGTGATGGATCTGTTGGCAGCACACACAAATGGATGAATTCAGGGATTTGAGCTGTCCTGCTGGTGCAGCCCCATGTGAACACTTGAATTTAATCATAATTTAATTAATACCTTTGTTGGTCATGCAATCTCTTAATTTATGTTTGTCTCAGTCACAAGGTGGATGCTCTATACTCGTATGAAGGTATTGCATGAAGACATATTGCAAATCGGTAAGCTTTAATCTCTCCAAATGAAGAAATTATTTATCCATTTGATCGTCAACAATTGTTTTGTGGGACATTTCATTTCAGGTGAATTTCAAAGACCATATTTGATCCATTGAACAGTTTAAATAATTGCGGAGCTTGGTCGTAGATTTAACAATACACAAAGCAAAGAAGGCACTAATCCCATCATGCCTTGCATGCGTGTCACGTGATCACCACATTGCATGTACGAACGTGTCTAATCCAACAGCTCGACAGAGCTGAATGTGGTCATAATTATTGTTTAGGCCATCAATACATTTTTTGTAAAAATGTGACCATCCCAACAGGCAGCAGTACTGCAGATTAGTTTCATCCTCATTATGACTCACCAGTAGAGTACAGTCATACTTTTTCACTGCTGCCTTATTTATGCCTCTGGGAGTCAATATATGGAGGGCTTAACTCTCTATATTACAGTCACCCCCAATAGCACTTGCCTATAGGCAACAATAATTCAAATCCAACTTCTATACGCGATGAGAAAACCCATTACAACAGGAGAATGCGTGCAGACTGAAAACAGATTTAACAACACACAAAGGTGTGCTCACAAACAGCAGAATGGCACAACAGCAGTGGGGCACTGCTATATTATTGGGCTCCTCAAATGTAAAGAGATATTTAATTTTGAAGGTATGCCAGAATGCAATGGTAGAGTACTAAAATGCTGCTATCGTTATTACAGTATTCCGTAATGCAATTGAAATTAATTGGAAAAGCCATCCCGTGCGGACAATTTGCACTCTGCTCACAATATATATTTTGGAACGCAAGTTGAAAATACCAGCACTGCAGGTGAGCTGGAAATATGACGTATAAGATCAGTAACAAATGGTTCTAGGCAGCCGCTCAACAAATGCCACGGGGAATAGCAAAGCAATGAGCAGAAACTGTACACATAATGTTGAGACTAATAGGAGGCGTCCATTACATAAATTAAAGCAGTACTTTGCCGATGTATTGATCAAAAACCAAAGGCTATATCATCTTCTTACCAATGCAGAGAGAATAAAACCTCTCGAAGTCGGAATACTTAGGGGAAAAGTCTTTGCGGTGATGGGGGGGATGTCCAGCAAACTTAAAAAAATGTAAGTATATATTTACATTTTCATGTAATTACCACCTAAAGTATATAACTAACATGTAATACGTTACAAATTACGAAGTATTTACAAATTACTTCTGACCATTACTTCAATAAAATAATCACATTTACTGTTAATTCGAACCCGAGTCACTCTCACCAGAAAGTGGACGTGGAAGCAACGACCATGAGTCTATGACTGAGGATAAGCACCACCGCATTCTCATTTGAGTGGGGAAAACGTTCAAACGTTGTGCTACAGCAGGAATTTTACAAGACGAAAAAATATCCTTCTGGAACTTCAACAGTCAGTGAAAGCTCATGCGGTCAACAAGGAATGGTACATATTCTTGGTTATTTCGGTAAAGTCACGTAGAAGGGAAATAATAAAATAATAAAATATAAAACAAAAAAAATTCTCACGACGTTTCGACTGCAACACAAGCAATCATCATCAGGTGTGAAATCCACAGCAAGGAAATTTTGAAAAAAGTGGCGGTTTGTCCTAACGTCAGCACCACGAACAGCGATTTAGCAGTTGGTCAGATGGACGAGTCCATCTATGTTCGATAAGGAATGGTACCCGAAAGATTACGCCTCCTAGTTATGTCTGCCGTGACTTCAACGTTCTCCTCTCATTCAACGTCGGACTGAACTCATTCGTACCTCAGGGCGAGGCTAGATCTAAGAGAAAAACCACAGTGCAGATGACATTGTGATTACAGTTAACAGACTGCTGCCAGTGGGGTACAAACACAAAAAAGAAGAAAAGAAAAAACCTCACAATGGCCTTTTTGGGCAATGGCCTTCGATGAGGAGGGTCGATGCCTGAAATATTCACAGTTCTAATACCTGGTTTAGATACATTGATTGCCCATATTTGAGCTAATAAGTATAGTAGTGCTTGCCAGTGCCATGGCACAGCAATTATATGCCTTGCTGTGCCACCCAGCCTCCCCTAATACAGGTATTAGCTTGAACATATGCACAGGAAAATTACGGTGGCAATTTTTATTCTAATATAGCCTTATAAAATTACAAACCAATGCATTAATAAGCACAGCCTTTGCATTTACTACAAGTGCCACAATGTTGATTTTGTTGTACATGCAAAGTTAAATGCTTTGATATTCTGACTCAAAGATATGCCAATGATGGATGGGAACCTCTGGAGAATTTGTGACAATCTTGCAGCATTATCAGCGACACAAATCCTATAAACACGAAAAAGGTCAGTGGCAGAAATATTTGCCACCACATATGAGTACGAATTCAATGCTTTAAGGCAGTGCTATTGATGAACGTGCTGCCTTATACAACATATTTCCCCCAATTCTGTTCCAGTTGTACTAACTCCGTCATGTGAAGAGACTAAGCGTCGATTCAGACTTCTCACAGTGCAGTGCAACCCTTCGTGTTAGATAATGGCCCACAGAAGCAGATATCACGGAACTACCACTGAGATACCTTCAAGTGACCTGTTCTACAAAACAGGGGGCAGCACTTTCTCACACATCCTGCCGTTGAGAGTCATCGACACAACAGTCAAATTTATATTGTTTCATTCACATAGGTGGGAATTAGCCAATAAAACTCACATTTTACGTGATTTTTTTTACATTAGTTTGTGACCAGAGTGAGACCATTAACATGGTGGATTTTAAAATAAAAATTGTGCTACAAAAAAGTGTCTGTCATTATAAGGAAAAATTTCAGATTTCCGGTTCAAAGCAGGTAAGGTGAGGTCTTGGGAGTTAGAGTGGCCCGCCTGTTATATAGAAACATGTCTAGTGCCTACATACAGTCTGTATGCATGCACTTGTATCTCCTTTCTACAAAAGCCACACACTCTACCACGAAAAAACTACAAAGGTAACAGACAATCTGAGGTCAAGACCTCTAGAAAAGGAAACCGCAGGTATTAATGGTTTCCAAGAAAATGTAATTTACTGACGTGTGTGTGTACATATATTTCGTGATATATAAAACAAACTGCAGCATGCTACAAAAGGCCATTGATAATTATCTGAATCGCTCATTAGTAGAGACAATTACTTGTAGGCAACACATTAATAATTATGACATTGGGAATAATTAGGGCTCAAGTAACTTATTTTGATCCAATATATAGCGAGATATGTCCCTGAATTACTATGATCACTCAATCAGAGATCATATTTCCATTGTTAAAAATATTATTGCCTTTTTGAGAGCCAGTTGTTGAACAACCCATGAGGGGATGGGTTGTTAAAAAATACACACCTGATTTGTATTTCTTGGGCAAATGACATGAGTTTTAAGCTGTGATACTGATGTGTACTTTTTTTGAGTGAATCATGATGTGTTACAATGCCACCACATCATGCCATTACTTTTGGGCGAATCTGATTAGGTGGCATACACTATTGGGAGCAATTTTATTTTAGTAAGTAGTATGAGAAAACATTTCTCCTGAAGGCCAATAGGCTGATGGAACGAAAATTTATTTATTTGTATGCGTGTACCGCCAATACTCAATCTTCCCTATTATTCCAACAATTCTTATGAACAGAATAATTGAAAAATACGAGTACAGCACAGACACTAGGAGCCTTACCGCAATGTCACCCGATTGGAGTCTCATGCCAGCCAAGGAACCTGTGCAAAGGGCCATGGCACATGATTAAGATTATACAATGCTCCTCTCTATATCACCATCTTCATCATCAGCACCGAAATCTTCATCATAGTAATAATTATAGAGTAAAACCCCGATTTATGTATCCCCTTTTATATAATTTGACAAATACGTCGTCACTTTATTAATAACACCACTACCTGTTTTGCGTCGCCTCAACCCACACTTACGTCGCTGACGGCATCATCCGTCCATTCCCACATCCGTCGCTTCGGCCTTCAAGTCGATCTACTCTGGAGACGAGCTACTTTGCGCCGCACATTAAGAAATGTACTGTACTAAATCTTGACTTAAAGCTTTCGTGACTGCATATTCTTTGGGTCTTTCGGTAAAGTCACGTAGATGGTTCAAAGAAAATATTTTCTTTGAACCATTTTACTGTACTGTAGAGTACAATATACTATATACGTGCATTATTTTGTTGATTTTGAAAAATTGCTTTGATTTACATCGTATTGATATTCGTCACACCTTTTAGGAATGCATCCCCAACGTAAACCGGGGTATTACCTCATTTGTTTATTTTTACGCTGCAACTTTCACAAGAATCTCGTTACAAAGGAAAAACATAAACATAGCCTGTTGGGAACCCAAACAAAGCAAAAATATGACATACAAGGGTACTTCAATCAATAAATAACTCAATAAATAACTCAATAAATAACTCTGTGTATATGCTGCTAACGTGGACAAAGTGCACTGCATTTTGGTTCCCATGTATCTAGACCCTTATATAAATCTAAACTACAATTGAACAAAATATTCATACTTTTTTATGAAGCTATTTTACGAGGATTTTATGCTCATTACAAATATAGAAATTAACTAAAATATAACGACACTCTTAGTTGAGAGTCTCATCACTCTTGCAAAAAAAACTGTTCTAAGATTTCCATAAAAGTCTCATGAAGTTCTTGTAATTAATCCTCCCTTATTCATTGTGAAATGCTGTTATGTCGTTTTATTAATTGAACCCTCAAACATGGGGAGGATTTCTCCCTGCTCACTGGAATCCACTAATCCCCCAATCTAATCACACCCTCTGACCCTGGCAGCTGTGGGAATCTGAAAGGTCAATGGATTTTTTAAATCACCGCCTCAATGTGCCATGACACGGCAGTGGCCAAATTCCCAACCACCAATTTTCTATCCTCCTCTAACCCCTCGTCACCTCTGAGCTATTTAAGCAAAATGACACGGAAATAAACCATTAGGTGAACATTTATGATTAGAGTAAATGGCACTGAAATGAATTACAAAAACTGAAATAGAAGTTGTAGATATTTTCATGCATTCAGCAATAACTAAAAAACATTTTTTTCATAAAATCCTAAAAAAAAATATTCTGAGGCTGTCAGACAAGGAATGGATTAAACTCATTAACATTTGTCCTCCAAGTGCTGTGCTGCACATAGTATCACCATGATTAGTATTTTTAAGCAACATGTTGTGACAGCAGTTCACGATATGCTATAGACTTTGCAAGTCCGATATATTTTGACTTGTTCACCAATTAAGATCACGTATTGCACTATCGCCAGCATAATTATATTGCCAGAATCTTTACCATCAACTTTACCACCAAGAAGATCATCATCAGCAACAGCACACCAGCAGTAACAGCAGGAGCCGCATTTTCTATGTCATCTGCCGGAGCAAGCCATCTCTGCTTTGGTGCCAATTACCTCAGGGTCTGAAAAAACTGTACTCATTATATCTGCAAGCCCCTCGATTTACATTTGGCATATCCTTTCATTGTTACAATCCATCACCATCGTATTAAAAAACAAAGCGTGGCATTGAAAACCGACAAAGTTATTCAGAGAGCAGCGAATACAAGCATGTCCGATGTGTTCGGGCCAGAGAGGAAGTGGTAAGACAATAGAAGCTGCCACCACTGCCACTCCGCCACGCACCTGGGTTGTCACCGCTGAAAGCCACCACCTGGCAATTGGGAGAGAACCCATAGCGCTGCACCAGGTATGAAGACACCGGTCCCTGAAACATAAGAAAGGGAGATAGTCCAACAGGGCAATTGGCACAGTCTGCGCCTTTGAGATGGGCACAGCATTACACCCATGATTAGGTTAAATGCTTTTCCACTGGTATATCCGTGCTGCGCCAGTGCAGCCCCCCTCAAAGAATGGGTGGTTTGTCACTGGCTATTTGCTGAACCAAGCCAGAACCATGGATGCCGAGTAGAGTTTAAATACAGAGTAGGTGTGGCACAGGAATCTTAGAACTTATGCCCCATTTGTCTCACCCGACCTAGTCCGACATAGCCCAAACATATGCCCAACAGCATGGTCAGATTATGGTTATATAAAACATTCCCTATATATAGGTATATATGTATATTTCACCAGTATATGTATATAAACAACATATATAGGCATATATAACCGGAAAATGCAAACGGATGCCATAAGGAAATAGTTATATTAACAAAACAAAAAATCCAAAGTAATATTTTTGTAATGCAAAATAATGGAATAAAAGAAGGTTATGAAGCTTATACTGATGAAAAAAGTGATTTTTTATAGTCGAAAATGAAATGTAATACAAAAATTAAAATTGTATGTAAGCTGATGACGACCGTTTGTGTTGCGATCGAAGGTATCGTAGTTTTTGGTTATTTTGTTACTTTCTTTGAACCTATGGCTTTACCGAAAGACCCAACGAATATGTATGTAAGCTATATTTGGACACGACTTTTCAACCTATCTATAAATATATCCAGACTCGACATTGGCATATTTCTCCTTAACATATTTCCATATACGCAAGAATGGAAAAGAACTGGGTGAGAAATACGACGCTTGGTTTAAGTCGTGGGTAATCATTTCCAGGTAATGTTTGAAAGTTTTGCCTTAAAAGTACAAGCGAAGCTGTAATTAAAGCTGGGTTTAATGAAATGGGAGAGAAAAGCACTATGAAATATGGTCAAATCCTTTTCAGAATAGCTGCTTGTGCACTGGCCGGGTGTAAACATGCATAATACACTGGAATTTCAGCTGCATTGTGCGCCTTTTGTACATCTACGCATTTATTTTTCACTCAAATTCCTCAGTGACATGGAACACGCGTTTCTCGCTGTGCAATAGATACCGCCGTGGCGCAGTGTTCTTATTGCAAGCCAAGCACATTCACATCCAAAGACGCTCGTAATCAGACGCATGCAAGCAACTCTCGACAGCTGCACGTGCACATATACATTCATATAAATGCACTAGTGGAATTGCACAGGGTATATTGTCAGATATCCTGTTTTTTAATATGTATTCATAACGTTACTGCAAATTAATCATCCTAAAATGCTACTTGTGTACACATAAACATTGGGATAAATTTGCATCCCATATTATCCTATAATTTATTGAGCTCTTTCCAAAAATAAATAAGGAACTGATATGAAATGATGAACTGAAAACCCCACGTCCCTCCACAAACACCCTTGAGATTCATTTGGGATTTTTCTGCATGTACAGAGCACTGTTATTACAATACTGTGATTACAACTAAATTCCGCACTCGCCTGACCAGTTTGTTTAAGTTTTATTGCTGTTATTCCCTGTGCTGCAACTGCAAATCCATGGATATTGCAACTAGCAGGGAAACATGCTTTCAGAAGCAAAGGAAGCCCAATACACCAAAATTAAGTATTTTACGAGCATCTGAAACTGACACGCATGCGCTGCCTAATAATGACAGAATAAATGCGGCCGTCATTAAGGAGGCAGCAGCCAGGTGTCATGCACCATGCTGCTTTGTATGTGCCATGCTTAAAGCAGTGATCCTCCTTATTACTAAGGAGCATCGCTGTTCAAAGAACAATTTCCTGGACCTTTGTGCTAAAGGTTGTCCACACAAATGAATGTGCAAGCAATGTTCCACCAACTATAAGTGAGTCATACCAGTGAACAGAAATGGAGCCACCCTATTATGGACTCAGGGTCATCCAGCTAACGAATGTTCTATCAGTGGAGAGCAGGAGTGTCTGCTAGAGGTGAGTCATAACCAATGAATATTATATTGTTGGCAGTCAATTGACCTTAACTTATGGTAGGGCTTACCATTGATTGTGATACACAAAGAAAGCAATGGCACTTCAAGGGGTCATATAATTTGTATTCATACTCTTTGGGTCTTTCGGGAAAGTCACGTAGATAGAATAACAAAACATCACGACGTTTCGATCGCAACACAAGCAATCGTCTTCAGGTGAAAAAAAAACAGCAGGCGAACTGCTGAGGCAGGAGAAATATAGCGGGAGAGTTGCTGCAGCAACAGGTTATATAGGTTTGAGATGGATGCAACCCAAGGGTAAGTGGGCGGGGCTAGAGGTGGAATTTGCATGTAAATGTAAGATCGGAGAGCCAGATATACCTTAGACTACGGTGCTGAAGAGGCCGCCATTGCATTGCTAGAGATTAGCATGTCAATCTGGAATTTGCATGTAAATGTAAGATTGGAGTTACATTACCTTGTTAAATGTCTTTACATTAACAGGCTAAATGTTTCACTAACATAGCCGCTGCTCCCTTTTCCTCGATGTGGCGGTGGCTCTCGTTGTTTAATAGGCTGAATGTCTCACTGGCACGGCCACCATTGCGGTGGTTCTCTTGCGTTGGACATGCTGGTCTCTCACAGTGCAGCGGCCAACGCCGCAGCTTTTTGTTGCCCACGAGGTGGCGTTGTGCCCAGTTCTCTGACACTGAAATGCCAATCTTCTCATTAACACAGCCGCTGCTGCGGGAGCCGTCTCACATTGACATGCTAAGCTCGAATCTCTAGCAATACAATGGCCGCCTCTTCAGTCGTGAGGTATATCAGGCTCTGCGATCTTACATTTACATGCAAATTCCATCTCGAGCCCCGCCCACTTACCCTTGGGTTGCACACATCTCAAACCTATTATATAACCTCTTGCTGCAGCAGCTCTCCCGCTATATTTCTCCTGCCTCAGCAGTCCGCCTGCTGTATTTTTTCACCTGAAGACGATTGCTTGTGTTGCGATCGAAACGTCGTGATGTTTTTTTTTATTATTTTTCTATCTACGTGACTTTACCGAAAGACCAAAAGAGTATGAATTCCTGCAGTCACAAAAGCTTTAAGTCAATAATTTGTATTAAGTTTACGTGTGTAGTGGATTCAACTGAGTCGCAGATGTACTCTTTGGAGGCTACACACATTTATTAACACCAACACATTAAACACAAAGTGGTTACTGCCCCTTTACCAGATAACCTATGGTGGTGGACCACCTGGCTGACTACGCTAGTTACTGGGAGTAACTGCAACGGACAAGACCCTGGCTTGGATCCTCATTCACGTTTTGGTGACTTCTTCTTGGACATAGATCGTAGATCGTAGGTCTTCAGATGACAACAGCAACGCTCAACCCCGGTCCCTGTGGGGACCCCGGTGTATATGCTGCTGGGTCGTGGCTGGCCCCGCCCTTGGCCACGACCACCTTCTAGAAACCTCTTGTCGTTTCTCAACCCTTCCCGTAGGATCTCACCCTCACACGTGACCACCCCCTAGCCCCCACCTGAGGCCCCTGTGTAGATCTTACTGGTCACATGCCTTCCAAGGTCAACCAGGGTGCCATGGCCTGGGGTAACCTCATCCCATGGCTGACACTCTCACACTCCCTCCTGTAGGAGTCGGCACCGCACACCACGCGTGGTGCCACTGAGCGCTATCCCAGCACTCACCGAGCCCCCACTAGGGCTGGTACTGCACCCACCTAAGGGGTGTCCGCGATGACGATGCATCGCACGCCGTGCCTCGCTAGAGCCGGCATTACTCAGTGACATTCACGATGTCGCTACATACGTGGTGTCCACGATGTGAGTACATCGCACGCCGTGCCTCTCTCGGGCCGGCACCACACAGTGAGATCCGCGATGTCACTACACGTGTAAGCGTGAGATAACGCAGGTCAGTAACTATCACACCAGGTTCCTCCCCTTACACCAAATTGAATAATATGGTTGGTTTATCTTGCTAAGCGTCTTCTGGGACCTACACATTTTTTAACACCTTACTTTTAAGAGGTATATTCATGTACCAGTTGCTCAAAAGACAATCCCAGCGGGGCATGTAAATAATGTAATATTCCAATCACTTTCACACAACAGCAGGTCAGCAAGAGCTGTTACCAGACATAAGCACCATGTGCTCATTAATTTTGTGATGTCGGGATTTGCACATCACATATATTAATAACATTACTGGTTACAGGCTAGCTATATTAATCAGACATAACCTAAACATTTCACAAAGGGAGCATACCCGATAAACAACTATAGGCTAAGCAATTGAGGATATCTGTTAGAGGGATACAAAATAAAAACACGTCAAAATATGCGTACCTCAGGCAGTGCATTATGGTGCACCGGGTTCAAATTGATTAAATGAAGGTGGATGGGAGCAGTTTGAAGTTGTGCTTAAAGAAGACAGTTTTTAGTCAAGTTGAGTCAATTAATTTTTGTTTAACACGTGACGCCTTCCCGGCACAAATCTGCCACTCAATGCACCATCAGTGTATGTGACCAGGTCAGACAAATGGATCAGAATCATGGACATTGACTAATTGAACAAAATCTGAAAGGTACACAAAGCAGCATGGAGAGGTACATGCTTGTAATTACACCTCAAAGACAGTAAAAAAAAATGTGTGGATCAGGAAACAAACTCAAATCAGAAACATCCCATTGACTATATTATTGGTTCTTTCGGTAAATATTCTTAGGTTTTTTCGGTAAAGTCACGTAGGTAAAATTTTTTTAATTAATAAAAGTAAAATCTAAATAAAATAAAATCACGACGTTTCGGAGGCAACACAAGCTTCCATCTTCAGGTGGAACAGTCATAGCACGATAGCTATATCAAGTGAGAGAAATTCCAAGAAAACCGTATTTTTATATATACTAGTTGAGGGTGGGAGGAGCCAAGATAAGCCCTGAATATTATTTTTGTGAGGTTCGGTGCGGCTGAAGCACGCTGTTAGGAAAGAGCCTTTGTTGTGTAAACTAGGTGCGGATGATGTAAAGGTGCATGTAAAAGGGACTGAGCCTTTTTGTTATGGAGGGATGATGTGGCTTAAATCGCTGCCAGGAAATTAGTCTTTGTTGTGTAGAATGGTTGACTGAGCCTATTGTTATGTAGAGGTGGTGCGGCTGAAATCGCTGCCAGGAATGCTCCAAATATGTGTAGTTAAATCTTTTTTGCATGGTTAATAACATCTTTCCAATGATTACTAAGTTTGTACCCATCATCACGGTTGAAATTATGCCTGTGTTTGTATATTTGGATGGCCTCGTGTACAAACCTTTGATGGTAGCCAGGAGGCTTGCAGAGCACCTTAGTCTCGGAAAAGACAATTTCATGAGATCCCACAGAGTTGTAGCAATGATCGGCAACGGCGGAAGAATCAGTTTTGCCGTGTTTCAGATGTGCTTGTTGCTTGCAACACAAGCTACACAAGCAGTCGAAACGTCGTGGAAATTTTTATTGTTTTATATGTGTATTATTTTATTATTTCCCTTCTACGTGACTTTACCAAAAGAACCAAGAATATGAATCCCTGCAGTCACGAAAGCTTTAAATCAAAAATATCACATTGACTGTTAAGGATAAGTGATTGGGCTTGGTTAGGATAAGGCAAGAAAGGATGATAACACCACTGGTCGAGACGTGATTGGTGCACCTATTGAGCTGTGCATGGTAGGCTACGGAGTTGTGCATTCACATCGCATAGATCAGTCGAGTACAAGGAGATCTGAGATGCGTTTGTCAACACACGAAGGTGTAAGACGCTACCCCCAACAATTGTAATACAGCACACATATAGTACACATAATTCTAGATTTGAAGCTTTCGTGACTGCAAGGATTCATACGCTTAGGTTTTTTCGGTAAAGTCACGTAGGCAAAAAAAGAATAATAATAAAATAATAGAAAAATAATAGAAATAAAATAATAAATCACGACGTTTCGGAGGCAACACAAGCTTCCGTCTTCAAGCCATTGATTGATACACAGCAATTGAGCTGTGACGGTTCCACCTGAAGACTTGAAGACGGAAGCTTGTGTTGCCTCCGAAACGTCGTGATTTATTATTATTTTTCTATTTTTTTTCTATAATTTTTTTTCTATAATAGTTTAAATGCGTTTGTGCGCTCACAATTCTCAAGCTGTTCACTTATCTGCTGTATGAAAGTTGAAAAACACACGCTCGAGGATGCCCCGTCATCCACTGCTTTGCCTGTGCTCTCTCTTGTTGTTATGTTACATTTATTTTACCAACAAACTAAATCAATTGTTCAATTCCGTCAGAAAATGTTTTAGCCTTAATATATCTCATCAACCATGGTGGTGACTTGGATTAAACTGTGCAGTACAATTGATAAATGCTATCGAATTGAAAATATTACATTGTAAACATTTAGTTAATTGTGATTAAGACTTGAAGTGTTCATTAAATGTGTTTGGTGTTAATTATGTGTGCATGTAGTAATTGAGCATTCATGAATGACTTATTTCCATCATGCAGGGCATGCCCCATAACGAGAAAGTCCTTTCCCCAAATGATTCCGGCTTCAATGGGTTTTACCATAAGCCCACTTCTCAACGATGTCTCCAGCGAGCTGAGCTGGCTGACTTAATGTTGCAAAAGCCATTGATTGTGTGAGATGTTTTGTTTAGAAGCTATTAGTTACATAACCCTTATCTTTGGAGTCACTGATGAGTATTGTTTCCCGTTGACGCATCTAGGAAAATTTCAGCAACTGACCATATGATCCTATGAAAATCTACAAACGAAGATGCCTAATGGAATGACTGCATTTTGTAATGATGTTTTTTTATCACGAGGAAGGCAACAATACACACACATGCAAAGGGAGGTAGGAGGAAGAGGGTATACTATACAATGGCAAGTCACAGATCCTTAAGTAATTCTTATACACAGTCTGGACATACACACAGCAGCACATCTGGGTTGCTAAAGTGTACATCCTGTGCATAGTTGTCAACCAACAACTAAAACCACGCGTTCAATCGCAATGCATGTATACCACGCACTGTGCACATCTTTTATCGGGCTTGCATATTTCTTTCACCCGAGAAAATATGATTTGATATTAGTCAATTGAAACTTAAAACATTTTGCTTGCAGACGCGAAAACCAGAGATATACTGCCAAGTCTAAAATCAGACGTCTCCCATTGCTTAGCACAATTTAGATGCCAGACTTTCGTTGTGCTCATTTATCTCGAGGCCTACTTTTCAGCTTTATGTATTAAATTCTTCTATAATTTCCTGTTGTCTATTATCTACAGTATATCTATATATATTCACATGGCAGTTATTGAAGATGAACGGGGATTATAGGAATTAAATATACATATGGGGTAGGTTTGGAGTGCTTTTGGAAAACTGAACTGAATCATGAACATAAATATACCAATATGCTGGAAGAGATTATTGTGATGATCGAGACTAAATAGCTGAGTGATAGCCAAAGGAGAGAACGTGTCCACGAAGATGCCCACCATGGATATGGAGTGATGAAATAAATGCAGAGATCACCGGTTTGATTTCCCCTCACCATGGCAATTGGAACAACTGCTTAATCATGCCACTGCTGGGAAAAGGAACTCCAATAGAAGGCGCTTTAGAGAGCCCACCTACAGCATATTTGGCCTACTCTGCAATGCTGGCCACAATCATAGAAGTGGGAATACCCACACTTTACCCCACTGGCAGAGCCAGTGGGGGTGGGGTGGCACATGCCCCCACAACGATCCGATCGAAATCCCTAACTGTGGTCAGATCATTGGGGTTTATTAGTAATAAAATCGGCATTTTGCGACCCCCACTGCCACTGTGTAGCATATTATTACGTGACAGGGACTCTATGAGATAATAGGACAATAGTCTTGAGTCCATAATTGGCAATAAGTAACGGCAAAGCAGTTATAAGTGACTCAGAATTGTGCGCAGTTGCGTATACAGTACACGACTTCCCTGAAGGCATTCAGCGAGCGCGATGCCGATTCAGCGAGCGCGATGCCGATCACACAACACGGTTCGAATTCGACCCTCGATCGATGGCTGCGCCATCGTCGCACACGCGTCGAATAAAAAGCAAGGGACAAGTCCTTACTTACTAACAACTCCTATCATTTTTAATTGCTGGAGGAGTTTCCCCCCCTACCTGAAAATCCTGGCTCCGCTATTGCTTTACCCCACCACACAAGAGCTGCCGATTGACTGTGGTGCATCCATTTATATTGCTTGGCGGACAGAGATGGGGCAAATGAAGAAACTTGCTTATTGTTTTAACTGCCCCTTCAGGAGATAGGAACTGGTGATATGTGAATTCCAAGTCTAGTGTGCTGACCATCACACCAATGGAACTAACTGCTAGAGGTTATACTAATTTATGCTGTGGTCCATGATGAAATATATCTGTGAAGGTTTGGCTGTAAATAAAGGCAGGGGTGGTGACAGGGAGAGATGTATGTACCAGCACGGTGTGCGACGGCACAAGCTCCCCAAGCTTCTCAGCAAGGTTGGGAGCACATGCATCCAGGCAGCGCTTGGTCCAGCACTTCTTTCGAATGTCCAAAAGATTCATCCCCGAGCCTGCCAGCGCACACACACACAGGTGCCCCACATGTGTCGTCAGCTACTGCAGCTTGCCAGTCAGGAGGGAGGCACGCTTAGCTACGTGCAGTGCGAAAGAAGTTCAACATACGTACATACATACGTTGCTAGCAACAGAACAAGTAGGCATCCGGGTGTATCCCCATGAGGCTCAACACCTTACGGGTAACATTTGTAGAATGATGGACTCTTAAGAGCCTCTATTAAAAATCTTTATGAAACGAATATGCGCACGCGTGTTAGCGAACATCCGGCGAAATCACTCACAATGTGGTGACTGTGTGGTTGGTGGTTATGAAAATGGAAACATTCTGTGGGATACTTTAGTGGCGAGCTAAAAAAGGAGGCTAGATTTAAATCAACGGGGTTCAACTTAATTACTCAATACTCTTAACTGCCCTCCTCTTTGTTGTCGAACAATTAACAGACAAATTAACAAATCTATTAAATGAAATCAATTGACACACGTTCAGCATGAAAATGGTCAAACAAATTCTGCTATTAACAACATTTTTCACACATCTGTCTCGGCACATCCTGAATCTTTGGCAAAGAAAAAATAATGATAAAACCGAAAACGAATAAAGTACTGAATGTGTGTTACTCATTCATCCCAAGGCAACTTACAGCACAAGAATAATTCATATTTCCTTAAATACTGTATCCCCAGGGTTTAGAAGACAATATGTACATTTTGACATCTATTGGACACTCATATTACACTTGGATAATGTATTTTATCTGCAGGGTGCATTTGTTGATGGATTAAATGTAACTTCATTTGCACCACTAACCCAGCCCCCTTATACCAGTTTATTCATTTTAAAACACATACTGTATATTAGGAATGTAAATACATTATACCATATTTGATACCCCCCCCCCCCACTCATTTTATCCTCACACCGCGTGTTTATTAAAAGAGAATGGCCAACCCTGTAATATAAAAAACGGCTCTGTAATTAAGGACGCATACGACCCGTAACGTCGGGCAGTACGATCTTGTTTATTGTCGAGAGTGTACCATGCATTATAAACGCGAATTGAGGAAATGATTACAATGTATATCTATTTCAACAGGTATGGGCCAATATATTGAATTGTACCAAGTACTTTACTATGTATGTGTACCTTGTGCAAAGTAGGCCTGTAAATGATTCAATAAACTGTCCTGCTTTCATGGTTCAAAATTTGATTCAAGAGTTGATTTGAAGCTTTCGTGACTGCAGGAATCCATACTCTTTGGTTCTTTCGGTAAAGTCACGTAGGTAGAAAATAAAATAAATCACGACGTTTCGGGCACAACACAAGCGTCCATCATCAGGTGGGAAAGCATGGTCTGCTGCTGAGGCAGACTGTTTTTAAAAGGTTTGAAATGGGTGTAGCTTAGTTACATGCTAATTTCTCACATTAACATCACTAGCCCCGGCCACCTCTTTATAACCCTTGGGCTACACCCATTTCAAACCTTTTAAAACAGTCTGCTTCAGCAGCAGACCATGCTTTCCCACCTGATGATGGACGCTTGTGTTGCGCCCGAAACGTCGTGATTTATCTTATTTTATACCTACGTGACTTTACCGAAAGAACCAAAGAGTATTGATTCAAGAGTGTATTTATTTGAAGCATCGTGGTGCGTTATATGGCTTATAGGTCTCACAGGGGTCAAGTGAAAGAATGACAAACAACATATACAGATTTAAAACAATTTAATCTGCCACGCATGATTTGTTGTACATAAATTTCGATTTAAAGCTTTCGTGACTGCAGGGATTCATCTTCTTGTTTTTTTCGGTAAAGTCACGTAGAAGGGAAGTAATAAAATAATAAAAATAAAACATAATAAAATAATTCTCACGACGTTTCGGCTACAAGACGGCTGCTTGCGTTGTAGCCGAAACGTCGTGAGAATTATTTTATTATGTTTTATTTTTATTATTTTATTACTTCCATTCTACGTGACTTTACCGAAAAAACCAAGAAGTTGTTGTACATATATCACATGAGAATTGTTTAAACATATACATCTATGCATAGTACATAATATGCAAACGCTAATGCAGCGAATGAGAGATTTACAAAAAAGCACAGCTTATGAGGCGGTATAAATCAGATTAAATGTAAGTGCTTTCTTAATTTAATCACAATTGTGAAAATGCATGGAATCCGTAGGCATGGTGCAAAATGACATGCTAGCTGTCCACAGCGTTGATTCTGATTGTCTTTAGTTTTTTGTAAGATGACCATTTCATGGCGAATTGAGATGCCTATTGCAGACAATGTAATTGTAACAGTGTTATTTCTATAAAATGCCTTTAACAAAATCAGGCCCTGTTTCCCTGGCTCTATGCTCATCAACCGGGATTTCATGGGCGTTGGTGAATGCCTATCGTCAGGTGGGCAAAAACTCAATCAAATATAATGGCATAAACGATCAGGCAATATTCTGTCTGATTTAGAATGTGATCATGAATACTATATATTTGGCCTGGTGGCACCATTGCTAAAGTGAGCTTGACTTACAATTAAAAATTCAAGTCGAGGCTACAGACCATTTCTTTTCTCTTCTGCCGATGACTTCCAGTATCTCCTCTAGGAAATTGTTTTCCATCACATCCTACCATGCCTTCAACTTTATTTTCTGTCTCATTCTGCCCCCCAACCGCATCTCCTAATTTGTTTTGATATTTTTTCCCTTGGTTCCCCTTCTCTGCATGTCTCTCCCACGTGTAGAGACGTGGTCACATTTAGATGTTATATAAATGCAAATTGTCAAATTGTATGCATGCAGCAGGCATCGAAAAATATGTTTTATTTGGCCTCACATACACATAAGGTTAAAGGAACAATCGCAAGTCTTGAGCACAATTTAGGTACCCGTCAATATCTCGATAAGCATGGCTGCCGAGGCTATAAAAGCAATGTTTAAGGCTGAGAGATATCGTTTCAATAATGTCGTGTGAATGGGAGCTATAGCACATTTACAATGGATACTCAATCTCTCAGAAACCTTTTGTGCCCAAGGTGGTAAAAGGGCATGGCTGTTAGCACTGTTTCCATATTCCTTAACCAATGTCAGAAGTCAAAAGTCAAAGACTTCCTTGAAGAGAGTCATGAGTCTCAGTGAGGCTTTCCTGGATAAATACGTATAATAATAATTACCTATTTAAACAAGCAAAGGTGTGTTGCTGATCTTCTCTGTTGGTGGATCTAAGCCAGTCATGGACACAACCTAATCCAAGAGCAGGGCCAGTCTTTGCCTGTCAAACACTGCCAGTCTCTATTGGTGCTCATGTTATTGATGGCAGGGAGATGACAGGCTGAGTTGACCACCGAGGATTTGACCTTGCAATTGAACGTACGAGTCGAGTGATATAACTAAAGCTACTGATCAAATATATAGACTAGACATGTCACAACGCATCTATTTATCAATTAAATGTATTCACAAAACAGTTAATGACAAGCATCAAATAATGCATGGGCAGTGAAAGGACAAAACTTTAATAAATGCAGCGAATTTGTTTTTTTAAATATACAGAGTAGATGGTAAACTCAAAACCGATTATCAATTCTGGACTCAAATTGCAACCCGATTGGTGTGATTAATTGAATGCCGTTGGGGGTGGGTAAGGCTAAGTAGGGGTGGGGGGGTTGACTCATGGCATGCCGAATATTAACAAATAAACCAAAACATTCCCCCAATGTGTGGTTTTTGAAGGCGTGGCTCACACCAACCACTCTATGAACAGGAAGTTAAGTGGTTCAATCTGTGTGAAAAAAATCCCACTGCAAAATGTATACTTGTTAGCTCACCTTAATGCTTAATTTTTTTTGTTATACCATTAATATATATTCACATTCCTTGCGCACAAAAGTGCTTGTACAGATGCGCAGTTCACAAAGTGATGCTACAAAATATAACTCGGCAGACTATTTCTGCTCTGTCTTGTATATCCCATGCTTTTAAAGTTACTTAAGTGCATCTTCTGCGTGTGTGAGTTGCACCTCCATGATTTCATTACAACAATAACTCCAGCAGGGCAAGCCCTTATGATCACATGTCATTTTATGGCACCAAACAAGACCAAGTATTGCTTGAAAAAAATACAAACGTATGCGGCTTTGGCTCAAAAGCACTTGACATGCGGTCAGGCAATGATTTCTTTCATAATTCATGCCCACTCTGGCCAATTTGATTAATGCTTGGCCAGGGCTCATATTCCTCGTGAGGCCAACAATAAAACAAAATAAAGCACTTATGTGCCCTTCCAAAACTCTATTCTTTAAGATGTGTTACATAGTGTAATATAATGGCAATTTTTATGGAATTATTACAGAGGAAAAAAAATCTCTGTTGATTGTTATTGACATATGAGTGAATAATAGAGGAGAGGATAGAGGGGGCAGGAGTATAGGGCATACACTGACGTTAAAGGGCACATGTTGGGTCACAAGGACACACACCGACGCATAAGGACACAGTGGGGAATAAAGGCACATATCTCATATCTGCTCACAAGGGAGCTTGCATGGCATATGGGCACGTTTTGACGATAGATCATTTCATGAGGACAAATATTGAATGGAAGAGCAGATATTTGTTCAATTGGCACCGTGGGTTTAAGGACAAGCATGGGCTCATGAGGGCATACATTTTGTATCAGGGCATGCCTGTGCATAACGGCACATCTCAATTGAATATAACAAGGTAAGATCCCATTGAGATTCACTACCTCTTTTGCAAGACGTCTCTGGCTTGTTGTGGGTATTTTTGAAGTGTTGTATATTGGTTGACATTTGAGCACAATAATGTACTAGCACAAGCTTTTTTTCACTACTTTATAATGGGCTGTGTGCTCCAGCAGATGACAGAAAACATATATGACTGGACAGCTTTTGTAATGAAACCAGCCTGGATAACGACAAAGCTATCCAGACTGTAAGCCCCCAATGCCTGTACATAAGGTCAATTGTTGTGTAGAGAGGGACAAAGACGGATGTGAACTGACAATGCAATCAGGTAAATTGGCAAGAGGGAGGAAAATGAATCATTCATTCATTGAATTCATCAATGCATCATCAGTGAACTTAATACCGAGCCAGGTGAGTGCCCATTGAGAAAAAGGTCCCTTTTGCTTGGCAATGCACTCACCATCACTGTAGTCAATCGTTGCATAGTCACCGAGGAAAAGGGATGCAGCAAAGCTGCTCACCAGTGAGATCCGCTGCAGGTTCAACAGAAAGGAAAGGCGAGTGGGTTACCACAACACATGTGTGTGGCTTCTCCACAGTGCAAGGCATGAATTGGGCTAGAAGAGTTGGTACGTGCAGAGGTCAAGAGCCCAGGCCCCCAGCCAAAGCATTATCTGCCCCAGCAAGCACAGCAAATGAGTGATAATGTCCTCTGACCTTAACCATGTGATAAGCTACTGGGATAAAAAAAAATGAACACTTGCGTGTGTGTGTGCGTGTGTGTTTTATAAATATGGCGGATTCTGAACAATCCAGTCCAGTATGCGAGTTTTTGCATGATGGACTGGAATTATCCAGCAATTCTGGGTAAAGCAATTTTAAATGTCTGTGATAATATGAAATCCAGTTTTTGCATAAGTCAATAATTATATGACACTGTAGAGTTGTGCAGGCATATAACCTTCTTTTTTAAGTCAGTCAAACAAGTAGTGGGGCAACGCTCTTCTCCATTGGCAACCTGGGCCAGTGGTAGAAATTGAATTGTTGTGGTGGGGACATGTTTCCGCATAGGATGACTATTGTTGACTTACCGCAAATTGGAATTTATTTTACCGACCGCATATGGATGAATGGCTAAGTAGACCATCAGCCTTCCAAATTAGTTTAATGCCCTACCAAAGGTCCAACTAGAACCACATCGAGAGTATGTGTCTTTTAGCCGACTGCATTCCGTTATCGAAACATCTGACCTACTACGTTGAGTGACGCTCATCAGACACTGCCACGCAGGGACATCGGTCACAGATTGTGACCTCGTTCATCACAGCTTGTCCGGAGCCCTCAAACCTTCTTTCCCAAAGAGCATTAGCCATCAAAATCATCTGAGTGAGGTTGAGAAGGGTTAATGGAGTGGGTAAGAGGTGTGCACAGGAGAAGAGTGGAATTCTGTGGATGTGAGGTGCAATGACGGGGGGGGGGGGGGGGGGGTTCGGCAGGGAGTGCTCTTGGTAAAGGGTAAAGCATTCTGCACATCCTTGTAATAAAGGTTTTTGAAATGCTGCACGGCCCAATCACTCGTGACAATCGTGTGACAACGGTTAGGTTTCCAGCTGGCCAAGAAGCCTTTGTGTTTTGCGTTTAGATTGCACTTTGATAGCATCAAAGCCACAGTGAGTAGGAGCTCAGGGTCATGTATGAAAAGATGACAAATGGTCTCCCCCACCCGGTGGGTAGCCATGCTGCTGCCTCACACTGTAATGCCATTTTTAAAGGCTTAAACATTAAAATAAACACGTGTAAAACAGCGGTCCCTCCTTATTTGACAGTCTGCCGTTTCGATAATGTTATTTTAGAGGCCCCCATGGCGTGTCCGTCAAGCGGGTTGTTCAACCATTCTTCACCACACCAGTTATTGCGGCCTGATAAAGGGGGTGGTCTGAGGAGCAGGCCCAGTCCACTGATGTTGGCCATGGGTGGGAATTAAACCCAGGTCGACGGGTGCAGAGTGCAGCATGCTAACAACCACTGCCACACTGACCACTCACCCCCCCCCCTCCCCTTGCATTTTGATGTGTATAAAACGTGATTGTCAATCAATTAGACAGGCTATTGATGATTATGACAGTTAACAAGTTGAGCTGTTGTTCACCCATTCAAAAAAACTGCAAATAGATACTGCCTGTTAATTCAGATAGATCTTGCCAAGTGCCACGGTGAATTTCTAGCCCCACAAATGGATGTTTATGAGTTAAAACCCTCATCGAAGGGCGACTTAGCCCAACGTCTCTCCATGTTGGCTAAACGAGGAACACTGTGTGGGAAATCAACAGAGGTCATCCGATAATAAGAATGGCTCTTGCCATAAGAATGTGGAAAATTCACCAGTGGCTGAAGTATATCAGTCTTGCATTGAAATTGTTACATGTCCACTGAAATGTTTTAATTTGGACATTATTACAGGTCAGCTGTGGATGTTACTATATATTCCCAGGGCAGGGCTAGTCGGCCCAGAATGAGCATCCACTGGTGTGCACATTATGCCGTACACATATGTACGCATGCCGCGGACGTTTTGGACGTGAAGAGCTGCGTAGCTTATGGACCCGAAGACCGACTGATTAAACTCACATCGCGCAATTGCAATCGCAAGATGACTCTGAAGCGCCATTAAATGATTCCGAGGTGCCATTTAAACGGCATCTCGGGTCACCCGTGATTGGCGTTCCGGCCTGACGCAGCTTCCTCCCGGCACTCACCTCTGTGTCCTCGTATGCCCTGGGCCAAGTGCGGTAAACCTTGGCGATCTGGTTCCCCGTGAATCGCTGAGGGAACAGAATGCGCGTTCCATGCGTCAAGGACAAATGAGCAACATGTCGTTGAATGTGAGGCATTTAGTTATTTATTTCACCAAACCCCCTCCTACCTCCCCCCCCGCCACCCACACACAATCCCTTCCCACTCCACTATTATGACCTTGCAAGCATAACACACACAAATGCATCTTTGCCCTGTGCTGCATGCGAGCGATAGAGCTGCATAGTCGGGTTATAGAGAGCGGCTGAACGCTGAATACATGCTTTTATATAGCTGTGCATAGAGCTAGATAGAAAAGGCAGTTGTCCATTCATACGCCTGTAGGTTTTCAGGTTATATTTCTAAGTGGGTCAAATCCAATCTGTAAATGACAAAAAACCCCATCACGACAGAACAACATTTGTAGGCTAGAATACCTTGAGTCTCAAACATAGCACGGAGTCTCTGTGCAGATTCAAATGCTGAATAAAATTACTATTGTAAAACATTACTAAAAGTTAATTTTGCGTTGAGTTTAATGTGAATGCTGTATATGCAGTGTTAACATTGTTGTGTGAACAGTTTATGCATTTTCAAACTATTTCCATATTGCACTTGAATTCAATTTAATTTGGCATATTTGCTAAATATGCTTGGATTGTGTTTATATTCAAATACAGTAGCTGCTGGATTGCCGATTTATTATGTTATCTGTACACTTTATATAATATATTGCTTCAGGGAATGTGAGTGTGCAATTGGCTGTCAGGTGAAATTAGACACTCTCCTGCTCCATCTGCAAGAGAAGGCCAAGACGTGTTAGCATGATATTCCAAACTGCCAAATTGAGAATAACTGCCACACAAACTTACTCAATAAAAATATTAAATATAACAACATAACTGTCGATATCCATGTGTAGTGACATAGAATTGGCCACGTAGTAGCATAGCACTGGCTGCTGGCAGGGAAGGGGATCTGCAGCTTACAGCAGCCCTGACTGACAGCAGGCCACGTGATAGACCGGAGAGGAATTTAGGGAAAAGGTTACGGAAGGGGCACATCGAAAACCCGCTAGTAGATTCCAGAAGGGGGGCGTGGCCGGGGCGGAGCCAGGCCACGCTGACGGTATAAGAAGGGCCCCGGGATGGGACCTCGGGGCTGTCGTTTGGAGTGGGATCCCCGTTGTTGCTGTTGAAGATCTTCGCCATCGTCGCTGTCTCGGTTCAGCGCCGTCAGTGTCAGGCGGCTAGCGTTGCGTATAGGCTAGCAACTTACTTGAGTTGTGTATACACGAGAGAGAGAAGAGTGTGTAGCAGCGTAGGGTGTGTATTGTGCAAAGGGTGCTCGATTTAATCAAAGAATTGCCCCCAAGAACTTGCGTGTCCAAGTCAGTCACGCATTTGGAAAAGAGAATGCATTTCAATGGAATGAAAATTAGTTGAGTTATAAATGAGTGCTTGCAATGAAAGAAAATATTTATCCCAAAATGAAAGGATAATATTTGAATAGTTCATCGTAATAATTTCAGTTCATTTAAAGGACTGTTTGTATCATATAAGCACCACAAAACATCAATGATTTTCGCTAAATTTATACTCAATGCTATGACATACTTTATCGCTGGCCTTGCAGGTATAATGAAGAATTGCTCCACATATGCATCCAAACAATGGAACAGGAAGGAAATAATGAGTATATAATTAAATGAATTACATTGCTTACATTGTTTATATTGCCTAAATACAAAACGCAATCATTTCCTTTACAAGTAGGTCAAGTAGTCAGCATGTCTAAAGGTCAACACATTCAGGAATAAGACCGGGGCCTTAAAAAGAAAAAAAACATGCCATTTGTCTGACAATGACCCTTCTTTATAGTGCGCAGAGGCTGGAGAGACAGAATGGACAAGATTTTGGAGGCTGCACTTTACAGCAATGGGCATGATGAAAATGACACTTTAAACATGTTTCCTTATGAAAAGTTTTAAAATTGGCATATGAATATTTACCTAACCAGACAAACCTTTCAATAACCAAAAATGTGTTATACATATGGTTTTGGTGATTGGGGTCTAACACCTGAAACTGTACGCTGTGTGTAACGCTGGGTAGTCTACCTGGATTTTCATGCAAATTATTTTTTTCATAAAAGGCTTATTCAAATGTTAACTAATTATTAGTTTGTTACAAAAATAATAAATTTTCTCAAAAAATATACCAGCGCAGCTTTTGATAATAGCCAAGTGCGCACCGGTTTTTGTAATTTGTCTTTGCGTTTTGCACACCATTACAGAATAATAATAAATAATCAATTCAGTTCATGTGTGTGACAAAACTTAATTTTTTAGACACAGAATAGAAATGTTAATAAGTAGAATCACTTTTTATTTGTTAACATTCGTCTCCCCTTCCGATCCATAATAAATAGTAACTGTCTTCGAATTCACATCAATTCAGAATCCAGTAAGTTATTGTAACCGAGTGCAAATTTATTTTTTGTAAAAGCAACCTTCTGCTCACATTTTTTGCAAAAATTATTGAACACTGACCTGTCCTTCTGGTTTATGAAGTTATATTTGTTGTATTCACATCAATACGAAATCCAGTAAGTTGATACTTATAATACATTTCAGAATCCAATCGTGGTTCATGGTCTTCATTCCCAGAATTTATCTAGCACCATCTTACGTGATTTTTGCATTTACTTTTAAGCGAAGACAGTTTCCAACCATTCCTGCATTTGCTATCAATGTCAATAAGCCACAAGGACAAACTTCTGAGTATGTTGGATTTCATCTCAACGAACCTGTTTTTTTCCCCATGGACATCTTAGTGTTACTTTGTCAAGATGAAAAAATGCAACCAACAGCAAAGTGCTGATTCAAAAAAATCCATCTCAAGGAAAACTTTTGGGAGATGATCATCAATTCACACCAAATGTGATATAGAAAAGTTTGATTAAATAAGTTCAATACAATAATTAAATATTAGTTTTTTTCATTAAATATTTTTTATGAACCCATTATATGGTGGGCAGTTACACTCGTTAGTAAATTAACTAATTTGTACTAAAAGTAAAATGAAAAATGCTGTAAAAACATTGTATCATGGTGAGAACTGCACCCAATTCAGCATCATCAGGCGATTTGACAGAATCGCCCGATGATGCTGGATGTAATTACCAACGAAACGTCATACTCAAATTGTAAATGTTGTGGATTCACTCTTTAACACACCGGTGGGCTGAAGTAATAACTATCTGTCTTTTTGTTTACGTGACAAATCCCTTACTGATTGGCCTTGTCGGGTGGTGGGGGGTTTCGACACATTTATACTTACGCGATCTAACCCAAAAACCTTTATTATGAATGTGTCTAAACTAGTGGATTGCGTGTGATACCACTGACACGGCTTGGGTTTTGCAGTGGAAAAACAATCCGACGCATCCTGAGCCACGCCGAGCTGGATTGGTACGGCCCCGGTGCAGCTCGGTTTCATAGTGTAATAAGTATAACCCGTAAAAACAAAGTTTTTCACTATAAATCCTTTATATGCGTGGCAGCGAACTTAATATAAAAGATTTAAAAATATATTCGCCTGTGGAGGACGCGGGGATCGATCCTGCGACCTTTGGCATGGGAAGCGAGGGCGCTACCAACTGCGCTACTCCGCCACGGCCTGTGGAGGGGTTACGCTCTGGGCTCTTACACTCTGACGTTCAGCCAAAGCGATGAATGCGTTCTATTTGAATATATGTAAAATAATTTTTTTTTGCCTAAAAAGTGTACAATTTTGGGAATTTTTTTTCACGAACATTAATTGTCTGGCACAACGAGTCTGTGTGGAAAATGTCAGCTCGATTGGATCACGGAAAGTGGGTTAAAAAACGACCGAAAGATTTGCACGGTCGTAAGCAAGCAAGCACGCAAGCAAGCAAGCAAGCATGCGAACTTAATATAAAGGATTTAAAAAAGATATGTGAGATAATTGGACCCATTACAGCCAGGCCAACCTCAGACACAGTCGTGATATTACAGGGTGATGTGGCATCACGATGCTATTCACCTAAACAATGGATAATGGCTTCATGCAAAAATGATAACGGCAGGATGTCTTTACTGCCAACCGAGAGGAAATAGAGACCTCGTCGTTTTGGCTGACTGGCTTTTAGTGAATATTTAGGATTATAGCTGAAAACAAGAGGTGGACAGATGGAGTTGGGTTGATGCTGTGGACATACCACCAAGCAGAAGTAGTTTCTGCCATATCAGTCTCACTGAAATATAATGAATGATTATAGTTTGAATTCTTTTCAAGTTATTTCAGAAGTTAATATAATGTCGTGATCTATAAATTTTCTATCTACGTGACTTTACCGAAAGAACCAACGTGACACATTTTTTACTGATTGGCCGTGTCGGGTGGTGGAGGGTTGTGACACATTTATAAATAACGCGATCTCACCCAAAACCTTTATTATGAATAATATTGGTCGCGAAAGCCTACGTGTTTAACTTTGAAACTCTAAACCCAATCACTACAAAACTTACCACACAGCTTACCGATACCAATGCCCACCATGAAATGTATATCAACAAAAAGTTGTTTTAATGTTATGTTAAACAGCATACCAACCTAAGTTTCGTGCGTGCATTAGAAGAACATGAAATTGGGTACAAGTGCGTGCACCTTATGAGTTTGTCCATTTTTATGTACATTTAGATATTTCCGTGTGCACACCTTCCGTACAGTTTAAACCTCCAACCCTCTTCACAGACTGGTTAGCCAACTTGTTTACATTCCTTCGGCGACTGCCGCAACCTTCGGGCTCGGCCTAAATCGCTTGCTTGCGAAGGTTAATTCTGCTGGTGTCAGAGACGAGGCAGCGTGGAGTATTGGGATGGAGAAGTTGCAAGAGAGGAGACTTCGGGGCACCTGGCCTCCAATATCTAATCTAACAGTACACTCGCAACTGCCTTTGAGGTATTCTCCTTGATCATTGCCCTCTGGGTGCCACGTCAACGACC